CGTACGATCCCTTCGCTTCATAATTTGCTTAGCAAATGAATGACGAGCGTCAGGAACGGTCGTCCATTTGTGGGCGGGCGGGCGGGCGTTTGGGACGTAAAGTTGTGGCTTGATAGGGCCCTTATAAGGGCACCTTCCTCGGGGAAACCGCTATGCAGCGCCTGCCCAGGGTCGCGGAATTCTATCCTGCCAGGAGTATTGATCCTAGTCGTTGGGGGATTTATCGTGCCAACTGCCTTTAATTGCTGCCAGTTTCGTCTGGAAGCATGGGACTCGTACACCGTCCCCCCTAAGTCATTGTATAGGCCACATCGCATTCAATAAGCCACTACGATTCTGAATGGAAGTAGAATGCGTGCCGCATCCCAAAAGGGATTGATCAACGGCGAAGACTTTATCCTTTATTATGAGCGTGTCCACTTGTTTGAGTTAGCTCATTTTCCACCTACTCGTTGTCGCAATGGCCAATGTTGAGTCGTGATGTCTTTGCACCCCTCACTCCCGTAGCGTCCTACTTGCTTTCCTCGAGGATGAACTAGATTCCAGCTGAAGAGTCCCCGCTTAGAAAATATGAAATGCTATCATTGTTCCTTTAAGTTTGCCCAGTCTTCGACTCTTTCTAGGACGACTCGATATCCTTTTCGCAGGTCCATGGTTTTCGTGTTACTGCTTCTTGTGAATGAGAACTCTTGATTTTTGAGCTTTCGATCTTTAAACAGTTACGTTACACAACTTCTTTTCAAACTTACAAAAAACATAACATCACCTCAGCCAGCAAAAATGGTTTACTGTGACAGCAGTAGCCAAATTAATCAATTTGTATTCAGGGTTTATTTGGAGATCCTCAGCTGAAGAGCGCCTCAAGCTTGGTAGAATTAAACAGTCGAGTTCGTGCTGAATGTGCTGAGCTACTAAATCAGATCGAAGCCGGCAGTAAAGAGCGAACTACTGTTCAGCTTTTTGATGACTTATCAAATACTATTTGTAAAGCTGCTGATATGGTGAGTTTCCTTTCCTGATTTACTTTATTGGTGAGTTGGTTGTGCTTTGATGAACTCATGGAACCAAGGTAGAATGCGTACGACAACTACACAGCGACCCAGCTTACAATGAAGCCGCTCAGAGCAGTGCAAGTGATTACTGTGAACTTGTAGAAAGGTGAGCTCATTTATACATTCTTACTAGAGGACTAATTCTTGTGGTTACCAAAAGATGTTTTAGTTTAAACACTTACACAAAACTGTATCACAAGCTGAAGAACTCTAAGGAGGAAGAAGCTGATCGATTAGATGACGTCGACAGACATACAATAGACTTGTTCCTGAATGAGTTCGAGCAGTCTGGTGTACATCTTCCACAGAAGGAGGTGGGGATGGTTATGTGCTTTGGAAATCCCATTGTTTTTTTCCCTTAGACTTCTTCATTATATGCACTAGTTATTCTGAAACAGCTTCTTATGCTGATTTTTAGCGGGCTGAATTCGTACGGTTATCGAGTGAGATTTTCAACGCTAGCACGAAGTTTCAAATGGGTTGCGATTCAGAAGTCATTGTAGGCAGGTTTGTGATTTTGCATAACAGTGGCTTTTGGCTTGGGTGTTACTGCGCGGGGCACTGGTTTTATATTACCCTATATTCAGGGGTTTAAGGTGCTCCCGTGTTTAGGGCGCAATTTCATATCGAAGGGAATTTTCGTGCGTTCTTACCCGTGTGGGTGGTTTTTGCGGGTATTAAGTGTTCTAGATGAGGTTTAAAGAGAAGGATTAGAAAATTTACTGAACAAAGCTGTTGCTGGGTTCAGGAAGTTTTGCGTATGTTGTTGCAATCATTCAAATGTATGCGCTTTATTATAATGAGAAAGGGCATCAGTTCTTGTTCAGTAAAGAATATTTGGTCCAAGTTCTCGTCCTAATTGTAGCAGGACTCGTAGAGCCTGAAATCTAAAGCCGGTCAAAGTGTGGTAGGAATTTTGGAACATTGGGAAGTAATGGTGAATAGTGCTTCATATGTTCTATGTCTTGCCCTACTTTCAGAGCTTTGAAGCATCAGTATGGTCTCGAATCAACGCGAATCGCCTCTCCGGCGTCGAACTGCGTTGAACAGGCAAAGAGGCGTTTCATTCACACGACCTATTATCGCCATAATGAAGCCCAGGTCCGCTTGATTTCGTGCCTTTGCCATTGGAATTTGTCTCGTTATTGAAAGAAAGGGTGTAAGGAAGACCTGTGTTATACTTCTTCTTCGTTATCATCACTGTGTTTTATTAACCTCTAGTATTAGATTTATTTTCGCTTGCTTTTCATTAGCATTAGACTTCAGAACATAAAGAGGAAAAAAGCGATCGCTCCATTTACTTAGTGTTTTTCGATGGTGATTTTGTGACATAAGTCATTTATAGGAAGAGAACTTGCGAAATCTCGTACTGTATCGAGACGAACTCGCAAGACTCACTGGCTATCCATCCTATGCACACAGAGCACAAGAAAATAGCTTGTTAGGCTCCTACGAAAACGCTCATGATTTTCTATGGGGAGTAATACAGGTGATCCACTCTTTTCAATACTCAATAGAGACTTATACAATCACTTTTTCATTTTTGAGCGTATGAAACATATAGAACTCTCCGGGAGACCCTCATTAGAAGTTCCTTGTACTCTGACGATAGAAAGTAGCTATTAGTGCAGGCCTGCCGACCATCAGCAGAACGAGAGATAGCAGTGCTATTGGATGTGCAGTCACAGTGTAATTCTTTGTCCAGTGGCATTGGCGAGTGGGACGTACACTATCTTACGCAAATTTACAAGGTACACGCTTTTCTTTGTCTTCCTCATTTTTTTTCTGCTCGTTTGGTTCATGAATTTGCATTCACTTGCACGCTATTGCACTTGCTTTTTGTGCAGAGAAACTTGCTCGAATTCAAGGCAACTGGAAAAGGTGGAAAATGATTGCAGCGTATAACGAGTGAATAATGCGGAAAGTAAATGTTGTTGGGTTCCAGTTAGAGGACCGGAGGTAGACTGTATACTAACGGTCCGAGGACGGTGCTTGTCTTGTGTGAGGAGAATGGGTCCGCAGCTGCACAGCGTGTCACTTCCTCTGCTCTGAGTGCACAGGAACGGAAATGAAGGGTAATGGCACCCGGGTGCCTTCGCCGGACTACACTTGTGCTATCCTTAAAGTCCAGTTCTGCGTCGATGCCAAAATCCCGCAGCAACACACGTTACAGTTAAAAAACAATAGAAGTGAGATTACGCGGACAAGTGGTGCGTTTGGCTATGGCTAAGCGTGTGGCTGGTTGTGCGGGGGCAGTGCGGAGATTGCAAGTGAGCGTCACTACCCTGGAGCTCCTATCTCATGCATTTTTGCCTCGCACTTGCTTTCCATTTGCCTCGCACTTGCTAGGGCGAGGATCCACGGGATGAGTGAGCAGCTTATCTACAAACGGGGCGGTCAATCATAGAGGATCTCATCGAAGAAAAGGTATTAAGTGACTATTGATCCGAAGATATTAATGGAGCAGGTAGGCGTAAAGTGGCTACCTCTATTGAAAAAAAATGCCCAAAAAGCTGTTGTGAAGGGTAGCGTTACTTAAAGCATGAGGAGTGACGAGCTTACCTCGGGTAGGAAATCTTGAACTTGGGTAGTACGCGTGTAGTACGCTGCATCAGCGCGGCGCACTCAATTTGCAGAGATCTCAACTGTTCTTGGGCCTTTCCCTCTTTTTGCATGTCTGAGCACTTCCGGCGTTCTCTTTTCAAATTTTCTCATATGCTCATTAACTCTTCCGTCGTTTTCAACATCGGCGCTATCATATCATTAGAAATTTCTCAAGAGTTTTGGCATAATTTTTTCTGCTTGCCTTCACCTCCAAAGAAGTGCAGTGTAAACCACATTGTTTTTTTTTCAGGAACGTGCCTACGGAATTGAGCACTACCATGAAATACACAAGTTTCTCAACCTTGGAAATTTGCTAAGAGGTCTTGCGAGTCTGCTGAACAAGTTGTATGGAGTGCGAATCCAAGAACAAAAGGTTGAACGAGGAGAAATGTGGGACGGCAACATTATAAAACTGGTAAGCTAGAAGTTTCAGTACGAGGCGAAGGTCTAGGAACTGCTCAGAAAAACAGGAAAACAGGCCGGTTTGGCTGATAACGCATATATTTTCTGCCTCTAATGTCAAGTTTCGGTAAACGCGGATGTCTAGAACTTGTCAAAATACCGTCGCACGGCGACCAAGTAGTCAAAACGTCAGAAGCCCTTTGGAATTAATCGAATACTAAAGTAGGTCCTTGGTAGAATGGTAAATCTTGACGCAGACCTTGCTATGGGCAGATTTCTGTTTTCCATCGATAGCTACTGATGCCTTGTGTGGATACCTGTAAATTCATTATGCTGTGTAGTTGCAGACTCCTTTTACACTTGACAAAAATCCACAGGTCTGCTCAAGATGTGACGTATAACTCAACAGAAATCAGCAGAAGAAGCTAGCGAAAGTAAATGCCCCTTCATCTCTGAGTCGAGCGGGCTCCAGATCTTCAATGACTAGCAAGAATGCTTTTTTCAAGTAGTTCCCAATCTGCGTGTTCGTGACACTACTTGTAACTAGATACCTCGTTATTCTTGAAATATATGCTAGATTGAATATGGCTTTGATGCAGTTGGACAGGAGTTTTTCTTTTCCTTTTCCCTGTGCCTCCTTTGTTTCATCAACCCTTCCACACTATGACCCCCGGAGTTGGCGAAATAACGGTGGTGCACTAGGGAAGTGGCGAAATGGACCATTCATGCTTTGGAATGTTTTCTTTTTCCAAACGTTTGTTCCTCTTTTCTTCTAATTTCGCTGTTCTCAGAAGGGCTAGTTTACATTACTCATTGATTAGAGTGTGACATTTGTAGAAGTTCTTATGCAAAATTGTTGTAAATTTTGTAGTAAGGAGCTATTCCTCAAGAAAATGAGTAGGGAGCTATTCCTCAAGAAATTGACCTATGAGGTTTTAGGATGTCTTCAGCGCCGAAGATCACTTCTTAGGGACAGTGTATCTAGATATTGATCGGAGGCCAACGAAAGCCATTGGCGATTGCCATTTTACTGTGCGTTGTTCAAAACAGGTGAGTAGTTGTGCATGGCTTTGTTCCCAAGCTGGATTCCCAAACTTTGTTGTAGTTCTTCGTGAAGAAGTGTGATTCGTTTTAGCTAAAAGACGGCAGCTGGCAAACACCAATAGTGGTTCTTTCGTTAGCGATATGCGACCAGTCTGATGTCGACTGGACATCCATTCCGGTACTGGTTTGATTTGTTTTGGTTTTCCTATCTTTTCTTAGTTGAGTTTATTTATATTTAATACTCCCATTGTTTATAAAACCTGTTCAGTCAATGCTCAGAGGGCAGTGAGAGTTTTATGGGGAATATACCGGTTGCTCCTGCTCGTCTCTCAGTCGATATCTTTCTTCACACGTTTTTTCAACTATTCGTTTGTTCTTATATCGGAATGTTACCCTTGAAGGCGCCGCAATCATTGACATCGTTTTCCGTGTTCAGACGCCTTCCTCAACCCTTCTCTTCACAGCTTTTGTTTGCACAAGGCAGGTAAAGACTCTGCGCAATATCCTCACTCAGCGTTAATCCTGGAATGTGCCGTGGAATTCGGGCTCCGCACTCTCTTGATGTTATGACGCCTTCTATTGCCATGGTCCTATCTGTAAGCTTGGAGGATGTACTACCTTCGCAGCTCGAAAATGCCTAGGGAAAGTGCGACCTGCTCGCGAAGATGCCACCGTCCCACCAACTGGCCAATACAACGCCAATTTTCATTTCAAAGGAGTATGGTGCTGTACTTATTTCGCTACTGCCTCTCTCTCCATTCTGATGATGAAGTGAGGCGATAAGAGAAAGAGCTGACAACAGCAAGTGAGAACTCGTCCGACCACGCCTTCTCTTCACCTTATGAACGTACAAGTCCGGTTAGGCTTCGCGTTCTATAGAGGGCTTCAGATAATTTTCCTTTTTTACCTCATTAATGAGTTACTCACCATTTTGACACTAGTGCTTGAGCCGTGCAATTCGCCTTCTTTTGAATGGGTAACGTGCTTTTTATCGATGGAAGAGATGGGCTTTTCATCGCTGCGCCCCTAGTTTCATTTGTTCAGGGTTATTGTCTCACTCGTAGTGATATGTTTATGTATGATATTCTTTAGCATGTTTTCTTGTCTGACTTGCATTTCTTTGATTCAGATTGACATGCATCGCGCAGAAAATGTTTTCCATGAAATGGGCCATGCGATGCATAGCATGCTTGGAAGGACGAGGTATCAACATGTGGCAGGTAAACTCTGAAACTTATCTTTGAATATGTCATGTTGTTATGACGTTTCCTACGATTCTAGGCACGCGATGTCCCCAGGACTTTTCTGAAATCCCTTCTATACTAATGGAATATTTCTTCAACGATCTAACGGTGAGATGAGTTCATTTCTTACGCAAAAAAAACATCACTATCAACACGTCCCATGGTAGCGGAAGATGACAGCGCACAATTGTAGTCCCGGGTGCTGCGTATGTTCCCCTGTTTCTCTCTGTGTAAACCCTAAAACTATTTGTCTAGGTGTCCATTTCATAGGATTGCTTTTCTTGCGATTTTGAGCGTTACATCCACGTTGTGGTAATGGGGATATCGTAAATTACGCGGCACTCGCTCGAAAGCCTAACTGATTCGGAGTAGAAGTGCTGCAAGATGAGGTCATTTAGCTATGAAATTGCTGCATGTCACATCCTACTTCCCCTAGCCCCCCCCCCTCCACTCCCCACTGACTAGCTCAAAACGTTGGATGAATTAAACCGTATTAGAAACAAACTGTACACTCACTTCCGTGCGTACCGTTCCTTATTTTGGGGTGAGTGGGTCCGCAGCTGTAGTATCGTGCCACTTTCTCTGCTCGAAATGCACGGGAAGGGAGCTGGAGAGTAATGATACTTGGGTGCTATTTTCGGACTGAGCTCGCGCAGCCGCACAGCCAGCCGCATGCCCAGCCGTAGCCAACCGCGCTACTTGTCTGCAGCCTTTCTCGTATGGTTGTTCTCTACCGCTGAGTGCTTGTTTTTTGATATCTCCGCAAGTGTTGATTGTTGAGGATAGCGAGGGTGGGGTTTGGAGGTGGTATCCTAGTAACACTACCCTACAGCCCTTTCTTCTACCCAATTACCTGGCAAATGGCAAGGACATACTGAGAGGGGAGTTAGCATTTTGTCGCTGAAGCGACGCTGACTCTGAAGCAAGTCTTTCAACTGGCGCCATACTCCGTAGTAGTAGAGTACTACAAACATCAACGAAAAATTACACACATAGTCCGTAATATTGCTTATCCTACATATGCCTCGTAGTCGGCTAATGCCGTTTGGACGCGAATACTGTCGCTGTGTAGTAGTCATTCATGAAGTGCGTAAATCACCAAATCCGCTGAAAACTTGTATACAGGGGTGATTTAACATCCTGATTACGAATATGACATTCATTCGTGGCGCTGGCGCTAATGGAGGACACTGCGATTATCTGCGCTCTACTGAAGCTGAGCCCAAAAGAAAATCGTAGTTTCTGAGCCCAAAAAGAATTGGTAGTGTCTTCCATCAGCGCCAGCGCCAAGAATGAATGTCATATTACGAATCTGTTGAATAAGTCTTGCATACGAGTTTGCAGTGGATTTGGTGGTGTAGGCACTTCATGAATGACTCCACAACTGAAAGTAATCGTGTCCAAACGGCATTAGCCCTCGTAGTCTTGCATGCATCTCAGCGGTTGTGGCTTTCTCAGTGTAGTTATTGTCTTGTTAGAGCTGTATCTCTCACACTACCCTTCAGATTGCGTAATTTTACTAGGGATAGTGGTTGCCATACTGTGAATTGAAAATGAACTAGTAGAGACCTTTTACTACAAATCTATTGCTACTTCTTTACATGACTAGATTGCATTTGAAGTCATTGGCTTCAGACTAGCCTGATAATTTCTTCAGGTTCTACAATCTGTTCTCCGTAACCCCAATGGGGACTGTGTACGTATTGAAGACGCTGCATCAATGATAGCATCAAGATTTGCTTTTTCGTCTTTAGAAATCATGCAACAGGTAAATGGGGTGTTTACTACTATTACCTTTCGTCCTGCGTTCTTGTAATCTGAGCCGTAGCACTTGATTGTTTGATGGTCTTTTCTGGGATTGTTTCGCAGCCTACGGTTGCTGCTTTCTACAAGAGTGGTTTTACTCCAAACCGTGGCTCTGATTTTACTCACCCATTTCGTTATTGTTATAGGCCTCCTATGCACTTTTTGATTTGGAACTGCATGCACCAGATGCGGCAAGACTCCTTCGTGAGGGTCGCATTACCACAACGAATCTCTTCAATTCTATAGTGACAAAGGTATTATTCTATGTAAGATCTAAGTCGATCAGAGCAGAGGTCCTGATAGTACTGGTTGCCAAAGAAATTCTCAGTTGTGAGCAAATCTCTTGACCTCAGGCACGACGCGAAGCTGCACCTCACGCTTACCGGCAGATGGGCTACGGCTACCCTCTACGCGTAATGCAGTACAGCGCACTAGCCCGTAAACGTGAGGTGCCGGTTCTAGTCTCGTCTGGGATGGAGAATTTGCATACAACTCAGCTTTCTTGTGACAACATTCGGAGCGCGAACGGCGGCCACGAACAGCAGTTATCATTATAATTTTTCGGAAGTTCTGATTGTTGTCCACCTAGGCTTTGCCACACTTGGACCGTCAAGCAGATTCGGCTTTCCAACATAGGTGAGTTAGGACATTTAATTCGCTTGTTATCTTCTCTGCTCAAGCGGAGGAGTCTTGCTTAGTGTACTAAAAGCAATTTTGAATGATCCGAATTGGTAGTTCGGATAATGTATGTCTTGGTTTTTAAGGTCCCACCGACTGGTACAGTATATGGTGCAAATATTACTCTACGAGTTGGTGGCTGGAATCCGCTGCTAGTTTGATATGGAATTCAAAGTTCAGAGACTCGCCATTCTGCAGAACTGAAGGAGAGAAGTGGATGAAGGTCTGTGCCGCAAAAACTGAGTTGTCTTGCACAGGTAGTATTTTTGGATTGTTGACTCTGAAAGTAATTTTTCAAGGTTCAATCGTACGGCGGAGGATTGCCTTCTTCTGTATTACTAAAGACTATTTTGGGATATTCTCCAACCGCTGTGCACTTTATTGATGCGCGTCAAACAAGAATACCTCGGTCACTCTGGCGCAATCTGCGGTGCTGTAAACGTGTAATTTCCTTCGATTTTGATTAGAATGTTTAAGATAGTCATCTCATGTGCAATTAGCTGAGCGAATCTTGTTGTTAGGTTTTTGTTAGCCATTGTTAGATTTGTTGATGTTTTGAAGTCATCCAGTCGTCTGTTGGTAACCGTCACGGCGGCATCGCTCGCGGCGGTTAGGCGTTGTGCTCACGGGTTTTTTTTGTCTCTTGGTTCGTTCTCGCTTTTGCTTCTCCAGGCGTTTGTCCCGCTCGATGGCGAGATCCGTCATTTGATTATAGAACGCCACTTTTCGCCTTCGATGAATGCCTGTCGGTGGGAATGCCGGGCGGCTTATTTGTCAAGAGTGCGGATGGTAATGGGCGAGCGTGTCGAGCCAGCGCTGTTTGGGTGTCAGCCTTCGCGCGAAGTACGTGCCCGTACCATCGAAGGCGCGTTTCACGCATTTTCTCTGCTATGGGGGCTACACCATACTTCTTGCGCACGACATCGTTACAGATGCGATCGCGTGACGCCCCCAGCGCTACATCTTCATCTCCATCACGCCAAGGCGAGCCTCAACTTCTTTGGTCGCGGGCCAGCACTCGGCACCATATAACGCGACAGGTCGGACGACAGTACGATAGATCTTTGACTTGAAACGCTCTGGCATTTTCTTGTCGCAAAGGATCCCAGACATGGATCGCCATTTAGACCATGCCGCACTCACTCGTGCGCTCACTTCCGAGTTCAGACTGCTATCGGACGCAAGTGCTGATCCGAGATACTTGAATGTTTCCGTGCGCTTGAGCACCGTGTCATCGATCTTAATGGAGCCCGGCTCATTTGGGTCGATTGTTGACGTTCAACCTGAGTCCAAACTTCGCCAGACGCTCGGCCCAAGCTTGCACCTGCTGTTCCAGTGCGCTCTTATCTTCACAAGCAAGCATCACATCATCAGCGTAAAGCAGGGTCCAAGGCACTTCCTTCTGAAGATCTCGTGAGATGGCATCCATGACGGCAACGAAAAGAAGTGAGCGCAGAGCCTTGATGTACCCCGACGGTGATGGGGAACTCCATTGAGACACCCGCTGGTGAGCGAACTTGGCTCATGAGTAAAGGATGCGCACCCACTCAATTAGCTCTTCGGGCACGCCGTGCCGCCTCAAAGCGTACCATATAACATCACGCGGCACACGATCGAATGCCTTCTCCAGGTCTAAGAAAGCTACATGCACGGGCTTTCGCTTCTCACGGTTCTTCCAGCAATAGGCGAGCTTTTTTTTTGCTCAATCAGCAAATTTTCAATGTGCATAGAATAAAAGTCGGGGTTCAGAAATGTGGGAGTTAGGAATACGATTCAGAAATGAGGGGAATCAGAGGTAGAATTAGAAGGGAAACTTTTGTCCAATATAGCGGACCATTTTGTAAGATCCTGCAGATATACCGAGTCGGTTTAGTCTTTCCTGATCCTCTCGGGAAGTTTAGGCCTGGCTGAAAATTGCCATCCTTTTGCGTGAAAGCACGCTCAGCGTTCATTCAACTTTGGATATGGTAGTACTACCCGTGAGCACGGCAGAGGGAAGGCAAAGGGAAGTCAGGAAAGCGCGGTTCGCTCGCGGCAAGGCTACCGTTCCGCCCACTTAGAGAATGGAAGTTGGGCACTGTCTACCAGTGCCCAATTCCATTCTCTAAGTGGCTAATTGGGAACATTTGGTGGAAAACGATACGAGCGATATGATGCAGCCTTGTCGCTGGTCTTTTAACAACCGGCAAAGACGAGTTTGGCGCCGCGCGAAACCCATCCCTCCTTCATTGGAGCGAACAAGACTGTTGAGGACTGCACCGAAATGAGCCAATATCTTACACCGAAATGAGGCAATATCTCACCTCGACAAAATGCCACGGTATTTCGGACTGGCACTTGATAAAGTTGAGCGAGACATCACTACTGGGTCTCACCATTAAATAGCTTTTTAGTTATTAATTGATTCGATGGCTGCGTTTTGGTTAGATGGAGCGGTGCCCTTGGTTTAAAAAAACTCGTGAGGGTTCTGAGAGATGTCAGGTTGTCATGAGAGTAGGTAAACACAGATGACTGTGAGTTGTGCTTTTGGTTTCAAATGGCTAATTGTGCTTACTCCCTGCATCTAATCTTCAGCATAATATGTAGCCTTCTCTTAAGGAAACAGGGGATCCATTTGAAAAAAAATAGCTTTTATCGTTAACTTATTACAGAGTGGCATTCTGCAAGGATCTCCTCCTCTCTTCTTTATTTTTTTGCATCGATAACCACTAATTCCATCGATTTTTTTTTACTTTCGCGTGTGGAAAATTGATGACGCACCATGAGTGTCATGTCTGGAACGTGTTGACCATTCAGGCTCGGACAAAGATCTCTTTCAAACATGGGAAATGTAGCCTGCGCGGGTGTTTGCATGTTAAGACAGGAAACTGCGAGACGGTTGGATTATTTGCGGGATCTCTGGTAGTGTTTACACGTTTCACAGGTTCGTACCTGTTGAAACAGGGTGAACGTGGCTGCCAGCCGACTGGATGACATCACAGTACCTTAGATTGTTGTTTGTGGTTGATGTTCGTACAGTCAGGCGTGTTTAAGTTTATGGAAGAAAGTATGTAGATAATAATCATAAATAAATCTGATTTTTTTATTTGAACGTAATGGAAACGGAGCGTTATATCGCGCTACCTGATATTGATTGGTGTTTTGTGTTGTACTGCTTAGGAACTTTGTTTTCTTTGCACTTTGACGAGTTTCCCAGCATTTCAGAACTACAATGAATCCATTCGATGAGAAACAACGGGCCCGAAATGCCGTAAGAGCAGGTGGGTTGAGGCTGGTTTTTGTTTTCCGCAAACGATAACAGCGTTCATTTTCAGAAATATTTGCGATTCGTCATCCTGAAACCGTAGCGCCGATCAGTGAGTATCGTGATCAGCGATTTCAGGTTCGTTGAATTTATCGTGCATTTTTGTGTGCTGTCTCTGAGAGGCCTAGGTCTACACCTCTGTCCTTTGGAACATCCCTTTTTTACGTTGCCTTGCCTCCATAGCGCTTCGTGATCACTGTTGCCTCGTACGTTCCAGCTTTGCGAACGTGACAAGTGGGTCAGCAGCTCCAAATCAGGGCACGCTCTGCTTTTCGGAAAGATTTTTGCGAAATAGGAGCCCGCCACAGAATATCCTTCTCTGATACAACCCGATCATAGAGCAGTAGAGCAGCGGGCTACTATACCATGTGGAGACTAGTACCTTTAGCTATGTATCTGTGATCTGGCGAACCTATCAACAGAAGAAGTTCTCGAGAAAAGAAGCGTGAGTGGTGAAAATCAACACCGGTTTTTCAAATCAGACGTCATAAGAGGAAAGTGCGCTGCTCAAATTCGACCGGCGCCGGACCAGTAGTTGTGTGTAATGGTGTTCTCGAAATACAAGGTGGAAGGTTTGGTTCAGGAGCCCGAAGAAGGAAGAAAGGAAAAAATTTGTTGTCGTGGATGGTCCCATAATGTTCATCCTGCACAAGAAAAAAGGGTGGATGAAGTCAAGCGCTGAATGTCTGATCCAGAGCCTGGACCTTTGTCGAGCTTCCCCGCGAGACTGACATCCCTGCTGCAACTGCTGCCCGAGTTATGTCCGATAAACTGAGGATGGTCAAGAGGGTGTGCGCATGGGTACCTAATTTTCTTATAGAAGCACGAACGCAGTACTATACCTCTAGCAGTAATGTTCTCAGCATGAGATGTCACTCACAACTGTGAAAACGCACCCGGCCTTAGATGAAATATGGGTGGTCTTGGACCTCGAGCCGAAACTCACAATCGTCAATTTTGTATGAATGCAGATGAGAAGCCGCCCGAGTTCTACCATGAGGAGTTACGTGGGCGCAAGTGGATGATCAGCGAAGGATTCCCACACTGTGGCTTTCAGCGGCTCTATACAGAGAATAAATCGTCGCTGTCGGTGTATATTGCCTGTTCCTCGGCAATCAGATCGACAAATGGATGATACCACACAACTACAAGAAGGCCACCGTTGCTCGTCATAGTGCCAGACCCCGAGTAACTGTATTGTAGGGCAGTGCTGGGACACAAACAATACTGACAAGGGAATGGTTTGAACTTCCCATGGAACTTTGAATGGAGACCTAGGTACATCGATAGAGCCTCGAATGCTGATTACGAATATGCAGATTAAAAGTGCTACGGGGACCTCCCAGACGAGATCTGGGTGGTCAAAGTTTGAGTTCTGGCTCGTAAGCGCTGCTGATCGATGCCTCGGCAGTGCCACCGTGGCCTCGTGGTAATGGTCTCGCTTTCAAGTCAAACGCATGCGGGTTTGCATCCGGTTGGCGCGAAAATTTTTGCTTCGCTCCGTATAAGAGCTTCAACTCTAATTTTCGAAATTCTTCCGAATTTACGGCCCAGCAGGGCAAGTAGATCAAGTACATCAAGTATACGACGTACTCGATCTAGTATGGATTTGGTCATATCTGCCCTCTCTGAACATATTACCCATCCGACAATTCAAAGTTTTAGCGAGAAATTCGTTCATGGGAGATTTCGACCCCCTGAACACGAATATCACA